ACAACGTGCAAAATAACAAAGTGGATCAACAGCACCAGCTTATTGAATGAGTTCATCTCAGTTAGTTTTTTTTGACTCATTTTTATTTTGGACAGTGAAAATTTATATAAAATTTGAACTTGACATTTTGGTTCATGTGTTTGTTTACTGATATTTTAGCTATTAATGCATAGGTGAGAGCAGTTTAAATTGTTAAGTTACTGATCAACTTTTTGATCTCGTATGTATATGAGATCAAAGTATGAATTAAAACTTGGAATTTATGCCCAATAACTTAAGGGAATGACAAGTTTTGCATGTAGTGAATTAAGACTATGGTAGATAATCCCTCATGTTTGAGATCGCTCTCCAGCTTGTGTGACAAGGGGCCGCCTGTGCTCAAACTAACACAGTTTCGATCGATGACAAGCCAAAAGATGTAAAGGTATCAATGTTGTTCATAAAGCTGCATGCCAGTGATCAGTTATATTGTTTAATGTATAGTTACTGCATTAGAAGGTAGGCATTATAGTTATTGCTGGCAGAAATTAGAAGTTAACATGATGATAAAACATTTTATGTTTGTTCTGAGGACATTCCTTCTGCATAACGTCTTAGACACCTTCATTGCCTACCTAAGATCAAAATCCTGTAGTAAAAGCTCGTTTATTAAAGGAGATGTTATACTTATTTAAACTCCTTTGATTTGTTTCTAATGACAGGATAAAGATACTAAAAAGGTCCAAACGGTCAAAACAACTTAAAGAAAAAAGGATGTTCGCAGAATGTGGACTTCTGTTAAAAGAAAAAAACGCAGCAAAGGTGGAAAAGGTGTTGGTAGACTCATCTAACCTGTCTCATTTTGTTGGGCAGCTAGTTTTGTAATTGCTTTAAAAAAAAAATGTTTTTATTTTACAATATAAAAGTGACTACAAACCAGGCTGTTGAGGCATGTCATAGATGCCCAATTCATTTATGTGAGCAATTAATTCTAGGCAATCAAAGGAAAATTCAGGATCTAGGAAAGCTAGATATGTGGTTTGGTATATGTGCAACTATTTGGTCCATTTGGTAGCAGAGAAATCAAAGATTTATTTACCAGGTGTTTGAACGTGAACATCAAAGAAAAATTGCTTGTTTGGCATCAAAACCATCCTTGTAAAGCATTGGAAATCCTAGGAATGTGATTAAAAATGTGGATGGAGTATCCAGGTCAAGTTTTATACTGTGGAAATGAAACCAATTGCTTGCAGGGCCAATTAACATCTGATTTGTGTGTTTGTTCATAAGAATGCCTTCCATGTTGAGATTACTATTCTAGGGAGAGGAATAAATCTGGTTTGTTCTTAAGAATGGGGCAAGTCGGATTAGATGTAGTGAATACCCAAATAATAAGATTATTAACATATAAAATTATTAATAATAAGATTATTAATGTAAGAGATTAGTGTTTTACAATTCATCTTGCACAAATTGGCAACAATTTAGACTTCAATCTCATGATTAACAAGATCAATTACTAACATTTCATAAAAACTCTAAAGACTCTTCTGATCATGAGATTGAAATATTTACAGTTTTCACAAGATAAACTACCAAACCCTTTTGGTAATATATATTAACATATTTAATATGAACCAAATATAACTTATTTACTAGCATTCTAATTAACTTTTAAATACAAATCAAAGAGTTTAGAGGAGTTGATGAACCAATGGTTTTCATCCCCAAGCAAAGTTAGGCTTGGTGTATAAATAAAAGCACGTGAAAGTATCAAGTTTTGGAGTTCTTTAATGTTACTGACTGATTGTGAGGATCTTGAGATCACAAGAAATAAGATGGCGACACATCCCCTTCGCCATTGTGATTGGTTAGACAACTTGGTCATTCATCCCCACCCATAAAAGCCCCTGGCAAGGGCCAAGTTGGAGGCCAACTTCGGTTGTAAGTTGCTTACTCCAAGCAGAATTCTCCAGCATCATCCATATCTCAAACCGAGCAATACCTTTGTTAAAATATTCTCGGGAATAGCAATCCACCAAGAAGGATATTTTCCTCTTCAACTCCCCCATGCCACGGAGAACTTTATAAAAACCTTCTTCTTCCCCAAAACAATATGGTAATGCAACCTGTTTAAAGCTCTCCTCGATGATATCAAACAGCAAGATCAAATTCTGGACATTATTATCTTTTGTTTTATTTACAAACCAATAAAATGGTCTGTTGTAAACTAATGAATGCTTGCCAAAAAGGTAGCATGAACCTGTAGGGTAAGTAGAATTGTTAACAACTTTCCATGAATTTTTTATTTGTGAGTAAACTTGAACTTCTGTCAATCTTTTAGAAATAGATTCACTGAGAATTCTAACCACTTTGAAATTATTGGTGGAGGAATCATAACCAAAACTAATATCAACATCGCATCGAGAGCCAAGGTAGAAATTTCGGAGAGGAGGATCGGGGAGAAACTTGAGTCTTTTGATGGAAGGGTTTAGAACAAATAAGATGTGACAATCATAAAAAAATAGTAGCAGGCCATGACGGCTACCAACAATTTTAAACAACCGCCAACCATGCAAGGACGAGTTCAATATCTCTACATCTGGGATTAATCGAAGCTGCAGAGATCTTAGGAATTTAATCTGAAGGAGAAACTTTTTACTTGTTTGATTGACATGGTGGAGGTGGTCGAGGAAGAATTGAGAACTTAACGATAACCTGAGACCACAGCTTGGACAGGCACATGAATTGGACAAGCAATTCAACAGGCAATTTGGTGAATATCTCAACAATCAATTCATTCGGTACCATTCTGTTTTCATGGGGTATGTAGGGAGATGAAGACAGAAATGGATGCTGCTTTTGTAATAAAAGACATTCCATTCCAACCAAGAAAAAACTCATACTCTATGACTGAGATGCTGAAAGCACAATGGTAAAAAAGGAGTCATCAAAATACATAAACTGAATTAAACAGGATAACAGATAGTGTCTCATGAAAACCAAAAACAAATTGAGAAATGGTACAACAACAATGTTAAACATCATACCATTCAGAGGTCCTCAAACCACTAGTTTTCTTCCCCAAGTAAGGCCAGGCTCGGTGTATAGGTAAAAGCACAGGAACTCTCCTCCTCAACTCCATGGTCAGTCAACTCCAAGGTCTTGAGGTCACGAGAAAGAATATGGCCAACTTCATAATTAGGATGTGTTAACAGTAGCATAACTTCATCATTCATCGCCAAGCATGTAGGTTCGTAAAGCTGACTAACATTGACAACAAATTGTCTAACCCAACCAGAATCCTCCATCATCCACAGCTCCAATGAAACATCCGTAGAAGAATTTATATCAAAATACAGCAAGGATAGTTTTCCCTTGACTTCCCCCAAGCTATCAAATTCGCATAGTTCTTCATCGAAACAATCTGGCATCTTAATCTCTTTAAATGTTTCGTCAGTGAAATCAAACATCAAGATCGAGAAACAATCACTGATGACACAGTTTACAAACCAATAAAAAGCTCCATTAACAACTACTTGAGGCTCATATGAGTCATATCTATTGTCTAAAGAATTGGGAACATTACTAAGAACCTTCCATGAATTTTTTCTTAGTGAATAAATTTGAACTTGTCTCCATCTTTCTGCAGATATTTCTCGAAAAATTATCACAATCTTAAAATCACTTGTGCGGGAATCAAAACCAAACCCAATTTCAGTTGAAATGTATGTTCCATCTACCGACCTATAAAGACCGATAGAGGGATAAAAGGAATACTCCAAATTGGGAAAAAGAACAAGCTTTAACTTTTTAATTGAAGGGTTTAGAAAACCTATATAGTGAATGGATTGAGGAGAAGTTGTCAAACACAGAACCCCATTGCAGGAACCGACGATTTCCCACCGCCAATCAGACAGAAGCAGAATAGGTTGATCCAATGTAACCGGTTCTCGAAGCAATTGATGATGGCAGAAAGACAAAGATTGCAGGGTTAGAGGGCCCCCACTAATTTGGAGGAGAAATTGTTTGTTGCTTTGGTTGGAATGATGGAGGTGAAGGGAGAAGAATTGAGGATCGGAGATGGCCTGATAACACGACTTGGACAAGCACATGAATCTGATAAGGGATTTCACCGGCAATTTAGCGAATATATCTA